CACAAGCTGTTTGGGCCACACTCACCATACAGGCCACTCCTCGCCCACCGGGCAGCCACAACCACCAGGTGCGACCCCACCCACCATGCGGGCCACGCCCACCATGCAGGCCACTCCTCGCCCACCGGGCAGCCACACCCACCAGGTGCGACCCCACCCACCATGCGGGCCACGCCCACCATGCAGGCCATCTCCGCCCACGGCACGCAGCCACACCCACTGTGCCGGCCACGCCCACTGCGCAGGCAGCTCCTCGCTTGGTGCACATGGCCCTAGGAGCTCCTGGAGGCGGTCAGCACACTACAGACCGGGTAACGGAAGCTCCCAGGCAGGATAACTGCCCAAGGTCAGATCCCTAACCATATGGATGGGCCGAGGTTTTAACGGCGTGGGACTGGCCACAGCGTGGGACTTCGGGGGCTCCCTGATCGCCAGGAGGAGCAGAGCGTGACGGGACAGGTTATCACTTGCTGACGCCCATGCAGGGCGACGCTTCTGCAGACCAGTCCCGCAGAGTGATTCCTGTGAGCTGAAGCCCAGCACAGCGCCCTCGCCCAGATGCCGAAGGCATGCTCGGTGGCAAGGATGATGCCCCCTATGATTTAACGTCTGAAAACCAACCCGGAGCATAGGACGGAAACGTAACCCCCACGAAAGCCCTATCCGCCTTTCAGGTAGCTGCTGTACTTGTCCCCTTACAGCCCTGGGATTTCAGGTTTTACAGAAGACACCTGACCTATATGAACAAGGTCGCTGGCAACGCGACTTCCCATTCTTTGGGGTGGAAGATAAATTTAAGTCCTTTAAAACGAAGACATTTGCTGGGATCCCAGGGACACGAGTCCCACTTTCTGGCCTAAACATTTGTTTCACGTCAATAACAAAGTTTGGTTATTTAGTGATCGTTTCTATGTAAAGAGAAGGATGATGAATCATAAATCGGAATATCTTTCTAAAGCTTTTTAAAATACTCTGGCACGAGGGGGTCTGTGAACACATGGGACTGTTACAGCGATTTGCCATCGCTGCCTGTGATTTGATGTAGACGCGGGGCAGAGTTCACGGAGACAGCTGAAAGCCCTTCCTCGTCAGGATGGCACTGGTTTACCAGTGCCCTCAGAAATGAGACCCAGACTGAGATGTCCCTTCCCTTTTACCTACGTCGTTGGACTTAATTCATTTCGGAAAGTTATAGAACACCTACTACGTGCGAGGCCCATGGAGTCACACGGCCCAGAAGCGGAGGTGGGCGGAGCTGACGTCGACGCTGGGCAGGACTTACTGATGGCCACCAAGGGGTTGAAGACGACTGCCACGTACTGCTCGGCCCACGGGTCCTTCCGGAACCTCACCTGTCACCCCCCCAGAGGTGGGATGTACCCCGCCCCCGCACTGGGGATGCGTGTGAGTGGGTGTGGAGAGGTGGAGGGAGGGAGGGTGCAGCCCAGGGAACCGCACTGTGGGGCTGTGACATTGTGACATTGCGCTGTGCGGGAGGGGCTCGGAGCTGGGAGGGGAGCGGGAGGGTCCATGCCTGTGCTGCCCAGCACGGCAGCCTCAGGCACATGTGGCTGTTTGAATTTAAGTAAGACTGAAAGGAATTAAACATTTAGCTCCGCAGTCGCACTAGACTGGGTGGTCACACTTGGCCGGTAGAGCCACGCCCCTGGACACGGCAGACACAGAGCACCACCATCCGTGCGGATTCTGTTGCTGGCCAGCATCGCTGCTATTCGTCCCAGCTTCGAGGCTGGACACAGCCTGGTGCTCAGAGAGTGCCAGGGAGCAGGTTGGTCAGGCGGTCAGCATACGCGCGTGTCCCCTGTCCCCGGCGAGGGGCAGCGCTGGAGAACAGGGAGTCTGCAGGTCTCGAGACAGCCCAGACTGGGGACAAGGGCTGGCCGTAGCTGTCAGGTGGCTGGCGATTCACTTATCGGCTCCTTAGACTGTTAAAATGGTTCCATTTCAGAGCAGGGCTCCCTGGGGACTTGCAAAACCCAAAGCCAGCTTTAGAAGGACTGAACGAAACACCAGAGGACTGGAAGGGAGACGGCGAGGAGGCCCAGGATTCGGGACTGTGAGTGTGCTCGCCACGCCTCCCAGGCCGGGGGTGGGGGCCTGGCCCACGTGGGGACACGTGAGTCGGCCAGACTTTTTCAACTGTGGAGGGATATGCAAAGCACCTGGACAGGGGCCTGACACCAGGGAAATACCACATCCGCCTGGGACTAGCAAATAATTCGAAAGAATTACACTAACCGACTGCCACTTTGTCTCTGACCAAAAACAGGGTGACGAGACCAAGCATCGGCCTCCCGAATGGGAGCCCCAGAAGTTGTAGTGTTTGAAGTAAGAACCAACAGTTTAAGACGAGATACAACGAGCTTCCCAGAGCCTCCAGGCAGCCAGATGGGCCTTCCAGCCTTCCCCTCCTGGCGCCCCGCCCCGCCCCGAATCCCATCACTGAAATCTTTGGCAGAGGGGACCCTCTTCTGATGCCTAATGCGAGGTGACAGCAGACACTCAGGGACTGGGTTTCGCATCAGGCACTTTTCTCTCCAGTGGGACTAAGCATTTCTCCAATGCGGCTCTTTGACAGAGAGCTGGTCACACGTCCTCGTACACATGCACGGACCCTTGTCCCCTGCCCACCGTGGACAGGCCGACAGGGTGGACCCCTCCCCCACGGGAACAGACTGTGAACCTGAGGACCTCCGCAGAATCGATTCTTGGCGAGAAGGAACACAGAAGCATAAGGCCTGCTCTAGAAGCCCACGCCAAGTGGCCACGGACACCCTGAGACAGCGGCTGGACCTCGGAATGGAGGCTTCTAAGCAGGAAAGCACGTCGCTGCTCTGCACAGATGTTCGGACGCCTCCCTGCAGTAAAACATCCCCCAAAGAGTTCTCTGTCCCCGATTCCACCGGGGAAACGAACACCCCTTCCGGCCCACCGGATGCGCACGCTCCGAGGCCGGCATGGCTGGCTCCTAACTCACCATGGAACAGGAGACAGGAGGGCTCCGGTCCCAAAGGCCCAGTCTACAACACCCCGCACACGCCCACGTGGTTCAAGCAGGGGAGGGGCCTCCTCTCGCTCACAAGCGTTTGCACCTTCAGAACTGTGGTTTTCAGGGTTCCAAAAAGGTCCCCCAACTTGTTTCTCTAAAGAAGTTTAAAGACGAGCCAGTGCTGGCTTCGCTCTTATTCTCTGGCTCCGAAACATGCACGAATCTCCTCGGACACATGCAAGCGAGGACTCGCTCGTGTAAACTCAAACCGACTCTCCTCGTCCTGCAGGAAGGTCGCCCTGGGGAACGTGGGATCCTGACAGGGGCTCGAAGCGCCACCGAGCAGGTTCGCGGTGACTTTAGGGCCTTACTTGTAGTTCTTCTCCCAGAATTTCACCGGCCGGACGTACGAAGTGATGAAAATGACGCTCCCGAGAAACGGGCTCAGCGGGCTGGAGAGGATGGACGAGGCGAGCGTCTGAAGCAAGAGCAGGGCGGAGTCTGAGCATCGGAGCTAAGGAAGACAGTGCGACCCTCCCACTTCCAAACCACGCCCAGAGGAGGGCGGAGTCTGAGCATCCAGCTAAGGAAGACAGTGCGTCCCTCCCGCTTCCAAACCACGCCCAAGGCTCTGCCTCGTTCACAGTCAGCCGTTTTCCCACCAGGAAAAGAAGGAAGGGCACGCGCTCTGCGTGCGTTTTGGGAATTATTATAAAACCTTTGGCAGCATCCTGCGGGGTTCACTTCCGTGAATGATTCTCATAAGAACCCGGCGGTCTCGGTATGACTCGTGGCATAGACTTAACATCTCAGGTTTGAAAATAATGGTTCCTTTTTACTAAGACATCATTAGCTGAACAAAACACATGCTGGTACACTTACAAGAGTACGAAGTAGCTTTATACGTAATTAAAATTAAATGGCACTTGCAAAAACAACTAAGTAGCATTTTGGGGGAAGGTGGCATCTCTGTTTCTCAAAGAATCTTTTCCCACTACTCAAAACACATGTTCTTTATTATACATCGGACACCAACGGCTCAATTCAAGTCATGTCCGGGTTACAAGCTAAAAACGTACACACGTGAAGCCACGGCGCGTTATGTGCTGGGTCGCCTCTTCCGCACTCTGGGTTTGTCACTTAACGCTGAGCCTCGCTGTTAAGCACCCTGGCTGATCAGAAACAGAGCTGTTCAATATCGGAAACAGAATGGCTGTAACTTTGGCTCAAGCCCAATGGGTGTCTGGAAAGCAGACGGCTGGTCCCTCCCCAGACTCGCTCCATCATCGGAGAGCTTCTCTCTGCCGCCAATCGCACCCGCCTCACTGGTGCGGGGCGGAGAGGAGGCTGCAGTCGGGGGAACAGTGGGCACCGAGGCGGCAGCGGTCACGGGGTGCCAGGCCGCCCACGTCTCACAGATGCACATGCTCCTCGCGAGGGCGCGGACTGTCCCGCGACGGGTCTGGTCTGGTCCGTGGCCGATCTTCCCTCCTGGAGGGGGCCACCTGCCTCTTCTCACCGCTGCAGAAATGGAGGTCTCGTTTCTTCAGCTCCTCTTCAAAAAGTCCCAGCAGGACGTGAAATGGAAATCCCCGGCAGGGGCAGGAAGACTGCGTCTCGTGACCATCGGAACCTCAAAGAAGTAACTCGGGCTCCGAAGCGCCTTCCGCGCAGTGCCCACGGCTTGACTAATGCTCTGTGACAGGGAGGGGTGGATGCGGGGACCTTCACTGCCCCACTGACATGGAGACACAGACGAGCGAGCTGTGCTGTCCACGTTTGCATTTTCACAGACAGAAGCTCAGAGTTTCGCCTCGAGTGACTATGCCTTCTCTTTTACCCCCTTTACTTGCTATTTACTTTGAAACACCTTCAGGAGTGAAATGACACCTGCTCCTTTAACCATCCGTTCTGGTGTCGAATTGTTTGGCGCTATCGAAAAGATCGCCATTGTGCTACAATTTAAATCCAAGTCCTTTTATTCTGACCTAGATTCAAACGGAGAACCACAGAACAATATGCTGCGGTGATATCTATGACCACTGATCAGTTTCCTTGACAACCGAAAGCTGAAAATATCTAAATACCTAGGTCGCAAAACACAGCACATTAACTTGCCCCTTGTCACCGGGAGAAAAGAGAACTGCGTGGGAGACGTCACTGAATAAAGTGCTGGAGAAATGTGAGAAGGCAGCTGGGGTCACGGGGGGGAGGAGGGGAGCTCCCCGGTGGGCGTGGGGGGAGGGGCGGCACACCGCCGGCGGCGGAGGGTGCTGTGGGACTTGCGGGAGAACCAGGGCAGAGCCAAGTGGGACCGGGGCCGGGCAGGATGCTACGGGGGCTGGCATCGCTGTTCTGCATTCTAAACATTTGCCCAGAGACCAGGTCGTCCGTTTCGTAATGCGGGAGACGATGACCCAGAAATTAAGGAGTAAGTGACGAGAGCAGCGCTGGTCCGTAAACAAAGTTCATCGTGGTAGGAAAAGATTAACAGGTGAGCGGCAGGGAGGAGCGAATGGACGGCCTCAGAGGTTCTTTATTTAGGGAGGACCAAGAAGGAAATAACACACGCTCGGGCTGTCGGGGAAGACTGTCCCTATTGCTGCCGAGGCGGCCCCAGGACACGGGGACCCCCTGAGAAGGCACACACGGCCTATTTCTACCAGGTGAGAGCCAAGAGGTCAGCCGAAGAGGTCAGCGGCGATGCCTTTGAAAGCTTCCTCATACCTGAGGACTTTAAAATGAAAACATCAGGGCCAATACTTAGGGTCAAGAAGTCCCTAGAAGCTCAGCAGTGCCCGCCGGGGGCAAAGCGGCCAGCCCGCCGCACCGACCCGGCCGGGTCTGTCTGCCGGGTGTCCACACGTGCTAAAGGGTGAGCCTGTCCGTCCTCCCCGCGGCCGGCAAGCTCAGAGGCCAGCGGAGCCTCCCAAGGGAGAAAACACGCCGATTCTGGAAAAAGCAATTTGTCTAACAGCACCGCGCCGGCCCGAAAGCTAATTCGATTCCAAAATGGAGCCAACTGGTCCCCGCTCAACACCAGGATGGAACCCACAGCTTCTTAAGAGAGTGACAAAATGATTAGCATTTCCAAATCAGTCGAGGTCCAGGGCTGGCTTTTATTATCCGACGGCTCGGTCTCGACGGCAGATAGACACCGGTTCCCAAAGTGTCTCATCGCATCCTGAGGCGTCCCCAGGTCCCGGGGAGGGGCTGTGGCCCTGCCAGCCACCACACGGCCACAGTGGGCAGGCGCCACGGTCACTCTGAGACACGCGTCTCGGCGGAAGGGAGGACGTGGGCGTCACCGACAGGGACAGTTCCAGGAACGAAACGCGGGAAGCCACGGCCGCTTCTAGAGCCATCCCGAGGGCCGAGGGGCGTCTCCGACGTGCTCCGTCGCTCACGCGCGCTGGGTCGGCCCGTCGAGAACGTCCTGAGACTTGCTGCGTCCCCGACTGGGCTCTGCGCGACCAGAGGTGGGGCTCACGGCGCCGCTGCTCTCGTGGGAGCGACGACGTGCCAGGTGCCGTGCGCGCGTGTCAACGCCCACCGCACGCCGCCAGGCAGCTGACGGTGACGCTCCTGGACCGGCCGTCTCCGCGGGGGGACGGCATGGAGTGGTCAGCGCTGCTGCGCTCACCCCGCAAGGCGCAAGGGGCCATGGCACCCCAGGTCTCCCTGAGACCCCCCCGAGACCCCCCGAGACCGAGGTTTGGTTAAAACTGGGAATCAGAACTTCAAGTGTGAAATTCCCAGTGCGACTCCGCAAATTTGCATCCATGTAATAATTTTCATTTAATAAACGGGCTTAAATTCTAGACAGGATTCCTGGAGCGCAATTCAGAAGTAAACGAAAATCACCTCGCTTTTGCTTCAGAGTCTGTTTTAAGGGACTCTGACTAGGAAACCAAAATCGCCGGCGTCACCGAGAACGGTGGCAGTCGATGGCAGGGAGGGGCGCGCACTCACGCTTCGCCTCTGTTCTTTCTCGGCCCATCCTGCCAAATGACCTCGAAGCGTTTCAGAAATAGCAGCGTCCGTCCGAGAATAGGAACAGAGAACAATGCGCATTGTGAGGCCGGCTCCTGGATGCTGGAGGAGTTTCTCTTTTAACAAACGAATCTGGAGAGCATTTTTAATTTTTAAAAAACCTGGACTGCATCGTCACCTGATGGTGACCCCGAGTGTGTTTATTCCTGCACACACAGTTCAGATCCCAGAGACCCACCGTGGAATGCCGGGGCCTCGAAGTGGGGTCACGCACGGGGGCGTGAACCACCAGGGAGGCTTCTGCAGGCGGCGACGCCGGCGTCCAGACCCCGAAACGTGGTTAAAGTACGAGCCGGGCCCTGGGCTCCCGCGGGGGATGCTGGGAACGCGGGCGGAGGGGTGTGAGTCGGGGGGCGGGAGGCCACTGGGGGTGTATTTTGGCCTGAGCCGAGAATGTTTTTGTTTAATTTTGGTCTTCAAGAGTATTTTTTATTCCTGCCTCTCATCCACTCCCTGAACACACACACACAGAGGTAGAGACACACACAGGCAGAGACACACACACAAAGGCAGAGACACACACATACATACACACATGCACACACACAGGCAGAGACACATGTACATACACACACGTGCACACACAGAGGCAGAGATACACACATGCACACACACACAGAGGCAGAAACACAAATGCACAGGCACACAGAGGCAGAGATGCACACGTACATATGTGCACACATGTACACATACACAGGCAGAGACACACGTACACATACACACAGGCAGAGACACACACAAAGGCAGAGATGCACATGTACATACACACATGCACACACACAGGCAGATATACACGTGCACACACACAGGGGCAGAGACACACACATGCGCACAGGCAGATACACACACGTGCACACACACAGGCAGAGATGCACATGTGCACATATGCACACACACATGCACACATGCACACAGAGGCAGAGATGCACAGACATGTACACACATACACACACAGGCAGAGACACACTCAAAGGCAGAGACGCACACGTACATATACACATGCACACACGCACAAACACAGGCAGAGATGCACACAGGTAGAGATGCACACACGCACACACACGCACACAGACAAGCAGATACATGTACGCACACACAGAGGCAGAGACGCACGCATGCACGCACACTCACTTGCACACACACACACTTCACTGCGTTAAAGTGATCTTTAGAAGGGGCACCTTAAATTTGTTTTAAAGTAAATTAAAACTAATTATCGTGATGGAAACAGATAAATACAAAGAAACCGAACGAAACTACGAATGATAGAATGAGGATCGTTGGCTAACAACAACCATAAAACAAAATCGCGAATTATTTTTTTGGTCTCCAAAAATATTTGGGCAATTCTGTTGGTACCTAATTCTGGCTTTCTGAGTATCGCTCAAGCATTTGCCAACCCAGCCATATCGATGTTAGGTAACCTGTAATATACGTCAGTTCCTCGGCCCTCTCCACAGTGTGTAAATACAGCAAATCAATTTCCGCTATTTTGTACGAGTCACCCGCATCGCCGAAGCTGTAATTTTCCATTTAAAAGGCAGGATATCTTAATGCGGTTCTGAGCCTGGGCAATAGGAGAATCAGAAAAATTAAACTAACTCCTGAATATCCATTAAGAGGCAGGAATAGTTCAAAATTCAGAACCCTCTTTTAAGGCTAAGTGGCCCCAAGGGGATGCACAGTGCCCGCCCCGGCGCGTTAAAAAGCGACCCCGAAGACTCGAGTCCTTTTGTCCCCAGGGTTCAACGAAAGCTCGCGCCCCGAAACGCGGACAGAAGCTGCAGCGGAAAGGATACGAGGGATCGCCACGAGCTGGGCGACCACGTGAAACGAGGAGCCCCACGCCATCTGCCAGGGAGCCACGTACGTCATGACGAACTGGAGCTTCTGGAGCAGGTCCCCAAGCTGAAGGCAGAAGAAGAACAAGGTTCGTCAGCACTGACGGGCACGGTAGCCGTGGCCGGGGTCACTCAGAACGCACGTGTCACCGTTAGGCAGGGGCGGAGCGACTGCTGTGTGCCCTCCCGGGGCTCGGACCTCCCTGTGTCCCACAGGCAAGGCGGCCTCTGAGGACATTTGGACATGGCAGCAGGGTGATCGGAAGGAGCCTCGCGGGGTTAACGTCGCCAGGCTGGTCACATCGGCTGTTTGGCCGATGCGGTGCAGCCCTTTGCCTTTCCCTGAGAAACGCCCCCAGCGTGATCGCCCGTCCTCCACACTGGGTCATTTAGAGGGACATTCACGCAAACACGAACCGTCGCTGACACGGTTCAAGGTTCTGTGTATTAAGTCAGGCCTCCAGCTGCTCCTGCTGGGGAAAAGAGCCCCCCAGCTCTGAGCTGCGAGTTACAAAGTGCCTGAGACAGCGAGATGGGACGTGGGAGCCGCTGCGTCTGTCAGACGAGCCGACGCAGGAGGAACCGAGCTCCAGGGAGAAGGCGGATGGGGCCTAAGGATGAAGGCGAAGGGGAACGCGCTCGGTGGCTTTGGCTGGAGGCCAGAGAAGACATCGGTGCCCAGAAGGATGGAGGAGCATGGTTGGCCCGGGCCGTGGACTAGGCCTTGCGGTGAGCAGGGATTGAGGGACCCCAGGTGCGACGTCTGCCGCCGTCACCTGCCCCTGTGAGTGTCCTCACAGGACGTCCCCCGAGCTCCACAGACACTCCTCACCCACGACCGGACGGCCCTAGCCCGTCTGGCACAGCAGGCAGTGAAGCACACTCGCCAAGGCCACGGACGTGAAAAGACGCAGAACACGGAATTCTGAATGAGGCTCGCAGAGCACCACGTGACCCCAACGACGGGAAGGCAGCGGCTCGGACACGGGGCCATTTAGGAAACGTTTGAGGAGCCACGATGCCTCAGCCCTTCCGCGAAAGGCCAGCCTTGTGGTTTTGGAACAAGATTGTTCCATGAAAGTGTAATGAGGTAAAATGCGGTTAATCAGCATCCTCTCCACAGCTTCCTGGCAAATTTCTTATCTCATCATATTCTCACAAATACCCCGTTTTAAGAGAAAACCTTAGAGTAGAATTAAGCATCATTGGATGGGCCACATGAGATGAACCAACGATAAAATTTCCTTCAACGTCACTACAAACGTGGAATTCTTAAGGAGTTGTAGCATCCGGTTATGTACAGAACACCTGAGGTCTAAATGTGACTCCAGTCACAGGTCTACAAGGAAGGGCGAGAGGCAGAGAGAAGGGAAGAGGAGAGAAACAGGGGGAGAGAGAGAGAGAGAAAGAGAGAGAGAGAAAGAGAGAGGAAGGGAACGGGAAGTGGGGACACCCAGGGAAGGGAGACAGGAAACGGGAGGAGAGAGATGACGTGACTGGACTTGAAGATCTGCAGAGGAACCGGGTTCGTTTACGCTTCTCGAGTCCGTTCTGGATGGACCCGCACAGCTCCCAGGGCCTCGGAGGCGCCGACGGCCGAGGCAGCAGCAGGTGACTCTGCTACGTCGGCTCGAGGTCACGTCTCTTACGCTCACGTGAAGAGCTGTCTCCTCCCCGGCGCCTCGTTTACCTGTCAGCAGGTGACTTGCACAGACTGAGACTGACGGTCTCAAACTGTCAGACTCAAACGCTTGACTCGCCTCTGTTAAATGATACGATTTCTTCTAAAGGCCGATAGCATCTCCTTCCGTCTCCACCATTAACCCAACCGGAGAAGGACCGTTCTAGTTACAAAAGACAAGACTTCAAACACGTGACTCGAGAGTCCCCCGGAGCCAGCCGTGGCGGGTTCTCGCGCATCAACTTGCTCATTTATGCCTCACCGAACTCTAAAGAAACCTCTCAGTCACCTCACTAGGATGCTTAGTCCGTTTGTCAAGAATTAGCTTGGTGACTCATGCTTGGGTGAGAGTAGCAAGCATGAGCGAGATCGCCTTATGTGATGGACAACCCCTCGAACGCCCTAAAAATGAATCATGGGGTGTGGAATCTCTCCCGGTGGGTTCTCAGCGCTTGACCATATCCTGGGAGGCTTCTGAGCCGTCTTCGAACACAGCTGATAAGTAGGTCAGAAACTACGATCAGACAGCCAGCCCCGGGGAGAGCCTCCTCTGCAAGTTTAAAGCTCCAACGGGTGAAACTTGGCTGCATTATGATGAAGCGAATCTATTGCAATTTTTTTTTTTGCTTCGTGCAGCAACTTGTATTTGCATGTAAGCAAAACCAGTAATCAGGGACACGCTTTCTCATGCTCTAATTGCAGCCAAGGCCCTGGGTATTCGCGCTCATTTCCTACGTCTCTGGGTACCTTGTTTATTTCCACAGATGTGGCGAAGAATAAAATATAAGCTTCGTGAAAGATTTTCAACACGCGCTGTCCTCAACCGGAAGAAGCCAGTTCTCCTGGGTGCCGGCCCTTTACGCATTTGTAATTTCTACATAGCTGTCATTTAGTGCTCCCTACGAAGCTGCCAGAAAAGCACGTGCCGTAACGTGTCGGATGTCAACACAGGGCGATGTTTAAGTGGCTGAGGTCACGCCGCGTGGGTTTGAACCCCGCTCACACCTGTCACGGGGTGATCATGGCACCGCCCCGCGGTGTCATTTGAGAATTCAACAACTTCGTCTTTGTTAAGGACATAGAACAGTGCCTGGCAGCTGTAAGCTCAAAAGGAGAGTGTGATAAACGAATGTTGGGACAGGTCTTATTTTGAGGACGTACTTAGCTCACCATCAGGAGATTCTAGAGCCCCTCCCAAACAACGCAACGCCCCAAGTCCAGAGCACGAAAGTTCACTCAGGGAGGCTGTGGGCTGCTTCGGCCAGAGCGTGAGCCACTGGCCCATGTGAAGCTAGACGTCAGCAATTCCTGTTTCTCCGTCTGCTGCTGTGTCCACCAGCAAACCCAGAGGCCATGAGCCTTCATGGATGACGGCAGCAGAAAGCAGCTAAAGGCAGGTGTCTTCCACCAGGCCTTGCTGCTGACCGCAAAGGGGCAGGGTCACAAGTGCGGACAGGACAAATTACGGCTGTAGCCACTATTGGGGACCTCTTCTCCGAGTGCACAGCGATGGAGGGGTCTGAGCTGTCCTGGAGTGCCCTTTCCAGTACAAATGCCCAATTAATAAAATACGACACCTCCCCGCAGGCCTAGAGACACTCCTGGGACCTCGGAAAGGCAGGCCACCCGGGTTTCTGTGCTTCTCCAACGCACAGCCCCAAGACGATCGATGTGGCTTACACGTTTCATTCCTAAAGGTGTGATCCCGGTTGAAAAGATTCCACTTCACATTTTCCTTTTATAGGGCGTTCGTCTCAAAGGTGAAATCAGGTGAAAGAATGAAAAATCTGTAATGTCAAAAAGTAATGCCTAAGCACAAAAGGAAACCTAAATATCCCTCATTAACGAGAAGTGTATATGAAGAGGCACCTCAGGCGCCGTATTAGGCCATTGTGAATAAAATAATAAAACGCGTGAGATAAGAATGAATAAGAACACCACCACCGAAAGCTTTCCAGTAACACTGCACCGAGGTGCTTTAAATAGAAATCCATTTACGCCGGCTGGGAGCTTGCATCCCCTCGGCTGTGTGGGGCCTCCGCTCTTACAAAGCTCATCTCACAAATGTTCTGCTTTCAAGACCTTAAATCTCAGCCCTATTAGAGCATGATCAACCTCAGGAGCTACCCAAGCACGACTACGAGACAAAACAAAACCATCTGCGTCTCTCCCACAGAAAACACAACGGAAAGAGTAAAGAAAGGCACCGTGGAGGAATTCTGGCTGGTTTCCCGAAGAAGACACTGTAAACGCTCTCGTTTTGAATGACCTATTTTGGAAATACCTCTCCGACGAGGCGGACACGTGGCAGTGTGTCTCTGTATAGAGAGGAAACCCGATCTGCACAAACCCACGAACCATCCCAGGAGAGTGTCACCAAGTAAAGATGAGCCCGACACGTTTCCTCCCTCAGACGTCCTGAAATAAGGCATATGCCATCTTTCCTCTGGGGACCGCCCTCCAATAAAGTTACTGACCATTTGTTGAACGTCCTCATGCTGGGCACTGTCTGAGGGAGCTGCGTGCAGGCGCATCCCATTTGATTAAACCAGAACTTTCTCTCCCAACCGAGTCGCCACCTGTCACCTGACCCAGCTTTACCGGTCACACATTTTAGTTCTATCACTTGCCGTTTTTTGCTTCGTTTTGTTTTTACTGTTGGATTCAGCAAGTTTCCTTCTCGGAAAGAATGGACTTCACACGACTTTACACAAAACGTGTCATTACCAGGGTCTGAACTCGAAGGGACACGTGAGACTTAAAGGAGCCCCGGAAACCGGCTGTCAAACGGAAGGTGAGCCGAGTCCCACGTGAGAGGCACCGAGGAGGCGGCGGCTCCGGAGAGCCTGGGAAGGGGCAGGAAAGGTGGGAGGGCATTTGGAGGTTCAAGGCGGAACGGGGCGAAAGCCAGGAGCAGAAGGACGGGGGGAAATTATCAGACATTTCGTGGCAAAGGCGGTGATGCGGGGAGCAGAAAATTGTTCAGGAAGAAACGGACCACACACTGAGATTCACTGCGCTAAAGAACTAGACATTCAACATTCGGTTTCTAAAGCACAGAGAAAAAAAGGGGGTCAAAGAAGGTGCATTCCATTCAATAAAGGCAAGAAAGAGGGGGCGAGATGACAAAGAAAAGGCATCAAAGGTATACAGCGAAAATATAAGAGCAAAAACATAGCAGTGACCGCAGTACCTGTAAACAGACAGAATGTGCCTATCAAGAGATCCTCAGCCTGTATCAAGAAGAGAAATCTTGCTAGATGCTTTTACAAGAAATATTAAAATGACTTAGAAAGTTTTACATGAGAGAATGAAAAAAAAAAGAGACCGGGTAAATCGTAACCAAAAGAAAGCTTCTTTATTCAAGCTATATTAATATTAGGTAA